CTATCAACAGTACAGTTATGAAAACTGTTCAACAACTTTTAATAGGTTAGCAAATGAGATTAACATGATACTATTTTCATATTCTACGTTAAATCAAGTTTCTGTTGGCTTCATAAGGATGTGAATACAGTATACTATGTTAAAATCACAAGGAATCCTTTTCACTGAAAAATAATGCTTGTTTTAAAAATATGTTTATAGTGTTGTTATTAAAAATCAAACATTGTGGGTCCTCAAATCCTTATTAATATATACATGATTTGAAATTTTTACTGGATATAAACAATCTTAGAAAAATTTGAAATCAGAATTTTTTTTTACCTTGCATGCTTCTACGTAAAAAGTTGGATAAAAGGCAGGAATCCTTGTCTCTTTTAAGGGGATTAGAATTGTTTTGAATTTCAAAAGATTTAATATCTAGGTTTTATGCCTTTGCAAAGGGAGTTAACATGCAGGCTACAGTACTGTGCAATAAGTAGATTTCTTTGTCCAAATAAACATGGCATTTGTCAGAACTACACACAATACAAGCTCCACTGTATTAATTTTGATGGGAGGCGCAAGGGTGAAATGGGAGGGCTCCATAATGAAGTAAGGGGACGCTAGGTAGCACAAAGGGTGTGAGGTGATTTTAAATCATTTTTTATTGTTATTTGATTACTTAAAAAATGTCCAGAGGTGGTGGGACGGGAGGCTACTGGAGGAATGAGCTTTTTAAGATGGTGTGCACAAACCCCTCTCCCCACTCCCTCCTAGATAACGTCACTGGTAAACAGGTCTGCATGGATGTGTTTTAGCCTACTATCCATTTTTAATGCAGGGAATTATGTATAGTGGCACATGCCTAGATTGCCTGCGGTAGTCTTCATTTTATGCTCAACTTGCTCCGAGGAATCCCAATGATAAGCAGCGAAGTATGCAATACTTTAATAGCCTAGCCAATTTACAACAAGGGTGAGAATACCTCTAATATCCCTACTGGCTCACAATGGCCTAATTTCTGACTTTTTTAATGATGATGTTTACTCAGTTGTAAAGAAATACCACTCGTGCAATTTTTTCCTGATGGAAACACAATCTACTCTATGCTTCTTTAGTATTTAGATTAGCTTTTCAGATCACAATTTACTAATCACAGTAATTGTAAACAAAGATCATGTTTCTCATTTTCCTGCAGCTTACTGTATCCTCATCCTCTTTTTTTTTTTGGGCCAAATTTTCTTAAGCTTTGAGAAACCTGTAGAATTCCTAGTCATCCTAATTTACTACAAAAGAACCCTAGAAGAAATGAATATTCAGGCATTTGTCTTTTTCTTCATACCAAAAATTAAATTAAAAAAAAGGTGTATGTGACAGCTGTTGTTGTATTGAGAAAAAATGAAAAATATGTTACTTTGGTTTCATTTTGCTATTGTTTTAAAAGCCAGGACAAGACACGTTTTTTGAAGTATAGTTAAGGTGTAATATCAATCAATTATAAATGTTCTTGAAAACAGGAAAGCCTTTGATAGATTGCTCCTGAACACATTCACATTTGGTGAGTTCCGTATTTCAGTGGGCAGATTGTTCCATAAATATGGTGCAGCACTTCCCAAAAGATTTTAATTTTCATCTTGGTGTGTATAGCAGATATCCTATAATATCCTGTTAGATGCATATTAAATAATTAAATATAGATTTGTGTTTAATAAGCCAGCGTGCATTTGAAGACCAATTGTTTACACACCTAGTCTTCTTAGAAGAAGCCCTTGCAAGTAGTTATGATAATTTTTGGCATTCATCCAATTAAAAAAATTCTCACTTTAAAGGTTCATTGAGTTGGCTTTGAAATTGCCATAACAAACAGGTTGGTATTTTTTTTGTAGTTTTCTGTCAAAACAAGTACAGTGTGCTATACTCAAACAACATGTGGTTATACTGTTTGCCATAAAATAAATTTTCTTTTAGATACTGTAATATAGTGCAAATTTTATATTATAAAATTATATAATTTTTGTTCCGCATGAAGTGCTGTTGTTCTTGTTACTAAAACTTTACAAACGTCACCAGTTTTGAACGGACGTGCATGAAATTTTGTACACATAAACTAGAGGTGATTTCCAACAAACAGTCATCGCCCTTTTTTTAAGTTGTACCCCAGGGTTCCCACCACAACTACAAAACAAAACAGGGGTTTTAGCATTTACAACTAATAGTGCACGTCGCATGAATGGCGCAGTGTTCTAAAGAACTTAAGGTTGTGAGTTCAAATCGCGTATTTAGCAAGTTTCATGTTCATTAAAAAAGAAAATCAACACCGAGGCGCGATGCAAACTTCCGACCTTCGGTTCCTTACCAGACATTTTTAATTGACTGCGCCATCCATACTGTAGTAAATAATTTAGGACACGTTGCATGGATGGTGCGGTCGGTTAAGGATGTGTTCTAAGAACCTAAGGTCCTGAGTTTGAATTGTGTATTTAGCAAGTTCAAATTGCGTATTTAATTTTTTTTTTTATTTTGTTCATTAAAAAAGAAAATTAACACTGAGGCGTGATTCAAACTCATGACCTTCGGTTAAGTATGTGTTCTAAAGAACTTTAGGTCAAAAAGTTCAAAGTTAAGTTCAAAACACGTCTTGGTATTCAATTTTTTTTTTCCAATTGTTAAGAAGTTTAATTTTGTTTTTCAATTTTTAAGTGTTTTAATTTTGTACAAATGATCATTCTAAATAATTTTTTTTGTACAAATAAACATTCTAATTATTTAAAAATTACTGTACATTATTGCCATTACCGCTAGTAGGGCACGGCCGGTTAAGGATGTGTTCTACAGAACTCAAGGTCGTGAATTTGAAGCACGTCTCGGTATTCAATATTCTTTTTCCCACTTATTTGTTTATTTTATTAATGTACTAATACTATGCTATGTTAATTTTTTTTGTACAAATAAACATTCAAATTATTAAAAAATCTTCTTAGCTCTTCCAAGAAACCCAATATAATAAATTGCGCCTGTACCATATTTAAGCATGGAGGAACGCGTGAACCTGGTGAGCGGTTGCTCTTGTTATTATTTGATTTTTTAAAAATAATTAAGACGATTTTTGTTATTTCAAGATGTAATATATTTTTACCATATTATCATTGCATGAAATGATATTTTTGAGCTCAATATATAATATCCAGTACTGGAAAATTGATTGGCAGGATAATCACTTTGAGTCTTTTCTGATTTTCATACAGTAAAACCTCTCAAAAAATTCATGAACTAAACTATCATTTGACTGCAGTTACACATTTGCCCTTTGAAAAAGCCTATCAAACTTCAATGTTTGTTTCATTAAATGCATTGACAATCCATCAGATATTTCCCCCTAGCGCTACAGCGTGAGTTACAACATTATTTGCCAGGGTAACATATTTTAAGTTGGCCAAAGGCTCTAGATAAATTAGAATAACATATTCAGTCTGCATTACTGTAGTTGAGGTGCTAGTGATTGCAGTTGAAGATCAAGTTAAAGTTCCATTTAAGAATTTGAAATGACGTCAATTTGCTAGGCTAGCATAAGCTATGACTGAAGTTTGTATGGTATCTCATTATATGGCTTATGGAGAGAACTTGTTACTGTATTGCTAAATAATTTATTACACCTAATGTTTTTGGTTGCTTGTTATATATTATTGTACTGTAGGTAAATTACTTCATTTCTCATTTTTGCAGAGCTTGAGGCTTTTTAATACATGCTGTCATTAGTATTTATAAAAGTTAAATAATTATTTTACTACTTGTTATACAGTATAAGGGGACTGCTCCCATGATTCTGAAAACAAACATATATAGACTAGTTATTTTTAATAATGAATGTTACATTAGACAAAGAGAAGGGTGGCCATGATTCGACGTTTCAACATTTTTTTGGGTCATCTGCTGGAATAAGATGAGAAGAACCACCACTACCAACTAGAATTCTGTTCATTTGAATGTTTAGTGTTGCAAACATAACATTTTCATTTTCTGTTGAAGTCAAATTCTGTGAACAAGGTCACTTTGTTTTGACATCCAAATCGAACTGTCTACACAACGTAAGGTGATAACAGTATTGACTGTATGGTAATAATACATGCATTGTCAACATGTTTAGTGTTTGCTGTTGGATGGTCAATTTCATTAATTGTCCTACAAAGTGAAAGCGAATTTCATTGTCATCAAGGAAACACTTCACTTTCATTTAATTGTTTACTTGCTAGTTAATTTCCTCGGTGGTGTGAAATTTTTATAAGAATGAAATAATTTAATATTGTTATTATTCCAGCTAAACTGATTATAATCCACTTTCAATGTTAAAATTTATACAATGGTTTAGTTTTCAGAAATTTAGAATAAAGATTTTTTTTTGTTTGGTGTACCTGCGAATACACGGTAGTGACAACGACACTATCTCAAAATCGAAGGTTGTGCACCTTCCTCCCATTCTTGTTCGCGCCTGTTCATTATTCATTTCTTAGTGGCTAATAAGCGACTTGAGTGGAAGGTGCTATAAAAATACATTACCATTGACCATTTTTGTTATGTAATTACCAAGTTTCTTTAGTCATTGGACAAACTGTTTCTATACAGATTAAAATCTCTATCATTCAGATTGCATAAATTTTCAAAGAAAGTATTCTATTAGTAGGATTCTCGTTTGAGTTAAAACATTTCTGGTCATTCGAAATTTGATATAATAATTTTGGTATATTTGAAAAAAGAATAATCAATTTATAAACCATAGTTTTTATTGTGTAACAAAAAAGATCTGTGCTTTAACAGTAGTATATTTTAAACCAGATAACCTATATCAAAATCAAAATATTTGCTAAAAAATCCAGTGTTATGAAATTTGTATTTTTACCGTGTAAAAATCATAATTTATGTGGTTTCAGAAAATTTCTGTTGACGAATAATACTTATTATAATAATATTTATGAATATTAATTTTTTATAGTTATGGTTTTTTTTTTCTTCTTTTTTGTTCACAGGCTGTAATAGATGAAAAATTAGATATGGTAGAATTTTTAATTGAAAATGGTGCTAATTTAGAAGCAAAAGATAATGAAGGCTGGACAGCATTACACGCTAGTTCATCTTGTGGATTTTTAGACATTACAAAGTAAGTTAATTCAGTGTTTTTAGGGGTTTTTTTCAGCGATTGACTTTAAAACAAGTATTATAATTACTTATGAACTAGAGGAAATTATTATATAGTACTTAGGTAAGATTAAATAATTATGTTCATGTAATAATCTAACCTTTGTATAATAATTTCAACTAGTATATGGTAAGAAACTACTATTTTGTTATTTTTTATTATTTCAAGGGCCCTTTGTACTTTCTATTGTTATTGATATTGTTTACTCTTTTAAAATTATAAATGAATTTAAATAATAACTAAGCTTAATAAATTAACTAAAGTAATTCTGACTATCAAATTCTTTTTTTTTGTTCAAGAGATGTGACAAAGGCATTTAATAAAATTGTTTTTCTTTTTCATTAATTGCCATACTTGAGCTCTAAATTTCATTTTTAGTTGTTCTTATGTAATGAAGCTAGTATTCTTCCATGATTTCAGATATTTAGTAGAAAATGGAGCTAATTTATCTGCAGTAAATAGTGAAGGTGAGATTCCATTGGATTTAGCAGAAGATGATGAAATGGAAGAGTACTTGCAAGAAGAAATTGATCGACAAGGTATAAAAATAAATGTTTAAATATAATATAAATTGAATTATGAATAGAAGAATAAAGAAATAATATTATTACATCAAAATTGAACCAAAGTGATTGCCCACAATCGTAATTACATTAATTGAAACATGTTTTCATTAATGCACACCTGTTGTCCTTGCATACCAATTCGTCCAAAACTTTCCTTCCTTTAGGGTTCTTAAGCACATGTTCAGACCGTTGCGCGCATTTGCATCTACTCACTTGTTTCCTTCACACCGATTCCCTGACATGTTGGATTCATTCATACATCCTGCACATTCATGTTTATGTTTTCATATTTTATATCTCTGCTAATCTTTTCCTGCAAACCTTTTATTATCGTCATATCCTATCATATGTATTTCAACCAAAGCTGAGCCGAGAGGTAGTGTTCTTGCTTCTTGTGCTGAAAACCCTGATTCAAATCTGGTCAACTTTGGGTCCTTGAAGAACCCTCACACGAGAGTTAGCCGAAAAAGAGAACATGGTACTGGCACCGTATTATGGGTCCCCAGAGGAGACCAGCCGCAATTCGTAATTTCAAATTTGGAATAATGACAAAAATGAAATAAAATATTTAATAAAATATAACAAAAACACGCTTCAAAAATCTCAGAAGCTAATTTTGGTCATCTTTCTGCAGACTCATTCTTCTATGAACATAATTTCCTTGTAAACCTTAACTTTTTCCTTACATGCTAATTCTTCATCACAACACACTTAATGCAGTTATATTCATTAAATCTAAACAAGGTACCTAAGACCGAGAGTAATAATATTAAAATATACAGTTCGAGGGCGAGTAGCATCCTACTATACAGCATTGTTGTGCTCACAAAAACTCAGCAGTGTAAAGATTTTGATTGTATCTCTACCACACATTGTTTATTTCAATCAAGGTTGGAATCTCCTCAACTACAGTATGGCAATCAGGCGGCTCACGAATATAAAAGTATTAGGTTTATAGCTAGTGAACTTTACCTGGTATGTACAGTAGGATAGTACAGAAATTCACAACAAAACAGATCCATCTACTGATAAGCTAAGAAATATGTCAGTTATTATCTGTAGCTTTTTAAGCTTCGTTTATTTAGTAATAATGATTTTGTGTTTGATTTTTTAAGTGATATATAATTCCGGTACTTTTAGTACACAACACAGGTACCATTGTACAAGTTGGAAATTAATCCAAGCTCTACTTATTGGAGTTTAAAAGGTTGTCACGTATTTGTTGGCACGTCCTACTCTAGCTCTCAAAATTATTGCAAATTTGCGTTGGCAATATCGTCTTCTTTGTGCCGGTTATTATAGCATAGCCTAAAATTCAACCTTGGAAAGTAACTACTATAATAAAACACAAAGCAAGTAATTCGTCTAGAGGATCATAGGAAGTAAACATACAAAGCCAGTAAACAGTTCTTTTGTATTCTTTGAATGGTTTTTTGGATGCTTCATTTGCGCATAACAAATACACTAGCTTTTTATTTTTATATAATTTTTTTTTACTCCTTTTAATTGCTTTATAATTTTATACAATAGTTGTGGCATATACTTGTCTTTATTTTACAACAGAATTAGTATGTGCAGTCAAAGAAAAATAATAGCATTGAAAAGGCCTATTGTATACAATAACCACATGTTGGGCAATAGACCGAATTAGCGACGAAAGATGATGTCATTACAATTTGGCCGAGTGCATAAAATTGTAAACAAAGCCTAAAGTCCTATTCTATAACATTGCGAGTTTTTGTATGGTCCAGGAAAACAAGCAAAAAACCAAAGCACGCGGGTAAAATACTTTTTAAAACATTGGTAGGTTAAGGAAGGTTCATAGAACCATCAGAAGACGTTTGATTTGATTTTCATGTAAAATTATATACGTAGAATTTTTACAGGCTAGGCCTCGGCCCCAGACACTTGTTGCACGACAACGCAACATGGCTGGATGTGATGATTGAGTGAGGCCTGACTGTAAACGTTCAGCTCCGTGCTGTCGTCTTTTACTTGTTTAAACATCCAGTCTGCCAGTCTGGTGTGAATTTAGGAACATTATTCAAAAATTTTGAATAAAACTTAGCTCTCCTTGAAATCTGCAAGTACAACACATTTCGTGAGTTTTGCAACAAGCACATTCATCGACCGACGCCATGATTCACTGTGAGTGAATACACGGCTGCCATCGTCGTGCTGTAACACAGGCAGATACAACCAATGTACGTTTTATTCCCAAAATAGTACGATTTATTCTCGTTATATTTCACATTTGGCATACACAATCGTAGAGAAAAGATGACGTTACATTCATAAACATGTAACAATGTTTTCTGTAAATTTAAATCACGCTCAACTTTACACACAAAGCGTGTATGAGACGTTTTAGTAAAGGCTATTTTCTTAAATTACTGTGTAAATCGCCTATCTTCGTGCGTTTGTTTTGGTTTGAATACCCACTATAGCTGAACAGCGTTGATCGCTAATTCGGTCTATTGACAAAAAAAGTAAAAAGTAAGAACAAAATGTGAACAAATTGAGGCTGAGGTAAAATGTCAAGGTTTTATTTAAAAACCAACAAATCAAGCTAGTCTTATAGATTTATTTTTGATATTTAAAAAGGTTATATATTATAATACCCTTTATAATACAGTGCGGTAATATACCATACTCTGTTCAGTACAATAAAAATGCGGTCTGAAAAGTGTGTAAAATAATAACAAATAATAACATATTGAGCCTGACAAAAAAATAATCAGTAATAATATTTTACTGGTTCTTTTATAGAATAATAAAAGTGTACCAACTCTTTGAAATGTATTTAACTTAGGCTACAGTACAGTATTACTCATTTATTTGAAAATTGAAATTTTAGACCTTGTTCTGATCTAATCTAATGCAATCTAATGTATACATGTATAACAAACGCTTTGTATTTTAATAGAGTACAGTTAGTCTATTGCTTGTCTTTCTCAGTCCTTAGGGTTGACTCCACCCAAACTTCAGTGGTTATTATAAATGTCAAGGGCTTTACACATCATTATTATTAACTGTGAGGGCTCAGTGCAATTTAGTCATTGAAGTCAAAATGAATAACTTGCTCCTGTCGACTAACAAGTAGACAACTGCCATTAATTAAATGAATGCTCATTAATATTTAATTAGTAACATTATTAATTACCAGATATCCATATGTTGTGTGATATCTGCTTGCGGCAGTACTGTAGTTATAGTTGAGAGCTTTCGGTTGCACGACGATAGTACTGTAGGACGTAATGACTATTGAAAAAAAAGTTACTGTACTGTAACCAAGCCCTGAACTGTAGCAAGTTTTTGCTTTTATATGGAACATTTTGAGGAATGTAAATCTTAGTCATAAACATAGGATAGTCTACTCTAGAAATACTTGGTATTTACTTGAATAAATGCCCTGCTTTGAATAAACGCCCCCGTCAAATAGATTTCCCCTCTATAGCCTCATTTGGAATAAACACCCCTTCAAAAACCCTTCTCAACAATAAATTCCCCGGGGCCTTTAATTTGCATAAATACGGAATGGCAATGTACAATTTAACATTGACCATTCAAAATTTAAGTTGGTGCAATATAGAACAGCAGTTCACTAAGTCAGAGAGCCTACTGTAGTGTATGACTTAGCCCTCACCTTTGTATAGTTACTAGAATTTAAAGCATATAATAATTCACCTTATCCAAATGCGCCTTGAGCATCATTGGTCGACATGTGCGCTTTATAAATCTTTATTATTATTATAATATATGCATGACATGCAAATTACATAATGTTAAACCATGCACTTGTTTATTGGACCTCTACACTGAAGCAAAATTTAATTGAGTAGCCACAGACATTTGTAAGCCCCTGGCGATGCCAAGTTCTCATTCCTTAAGTACTTGGTTTTCATACTGCGAAATCTGTCCTATCGTCATCTGGAGTCTGCTAACCATTTACTTAAATCCATTGAACTCTTCCAGATGATTTCTGCAGAGACATAATCTACTGTTAGATTATGCTTTAATTCTGTAATATATCTGGATGATACTTACTGTACCCATTTTTGTCCATTTCTTGAGTGATCTTCAAGACATTTTCATTCATTTCTGAAGTGCAAAGTTTTTTTTTTTTTTATGAATCTATAAAAATCTAAAAAATTATCTCAGAACAGTTAGTAATCAAGATCAATGGCTTGTTTGTAGTATAAAGGGATGGGGGTTCATAATATACAGTACTATCTTCTATATTTAAAAAAATAAAATTACAGTAGACTAGGAATTATGAGGTACATATAGTACTACCATCTGTATTTTTATGACCTAAAGTACATTGTACTATAAGATCGTGAGATAATTCTACCCGTTATGAGGTACTACAGTATGTGTCATCTGTATTTTGATAACCCATATTAACTAAAGGAATATCAGGTAATAATACCACTTTGCACACTTGTGTATGAGGTACTGTTGCTGATATTTTGATAACCCAGAGTAAACCAGGGGAAAAGGCAATACCATTGAGACTGTCATGTACTGGCACCCATATGTTTGTATAACAAGAACGTCTTGATATTACAGTAGTAGAAAGAAGTGGTATGAAGTTATTATTAATGTATGAATAAAACTTGATATTAATTTTACTATGTTCTTTGTGAAGGTGATATATACTCTAATAAATGTGCATTTTCTTTTAGGTCTAGATGTAGAAGCAGCACGGAAAGAAGAGGAAAGGAAAATAATAGATGATGCCAACCAGTGGCTTAATTCCAAATCTGTCAAAGACAAACCACATCCAAAAACCGGTGCAACTGCCCTCCATGTTGCATCGGCTAAAGGTTACATCAAAGCATTAAGGTAAATGTTTATCAATGACATAAGGGCATGAGATTGAGGGTGTATTTATACATTTGATAGGGAGGGTGGGAAACTCCTAAGACTAAGCTCATTCTCAATGAGATTGCAAATATATAAAAGGAAACATAATGCTACAAAACAAGTGGTATTTATTAATATATGTGCAAGGAAAATTACAGATGGAAGACACTCATCACAAAACAGACACACGTCACACAACATACGGCACCAATAAATTGCAAATTTAAAGCCTATGAGACAATGTTGAAAATCAAATAATTTGTTGAGAAAAGTGGAAACAAGATAATATTTACTCTTATTTTATACCTGATTCCCATGACAAATATACTGTAGTACTAAGTATTAACAAATTGTACCAAGGATATTTTCCCTGTTCCATTTTATTTTCGAGGGGTGTTCTCTTTTGGGAGAGAATAGGCAATTAGTCGGTTTAGTATTCACGAAGTAGACATTTCGGCTGTGAAAATGCATATCCGTGTAATAATACAAAGGATATCTCAGTGAAAAAACAGACTTTTTTTCAATAAATTTAGCAAGGATTTGTACTGAATGTATTATAGGGTGCAGCTTATCTTACTCTACACTTCGCTGTTGCGCGTATCATCACTGTCTGCGTATTAATTTAGCAAGGTTAGTATTTAGTCGTGTGAAAGCGTCAAACTATAGCAGGGTGATCCTTTGGTACCTCCTTGGAGGCACTGGTTCAGTACTAACAAATATTAATGCTTTATAGAATAATAAATAAATGTTTATGATACTATAGATACTTTTGATTTCCTGGTGATACCGCTGTATTTTGGATACAGAATATAATAACTGACAACTACAGTCAGCATTACATCATAATGCATAAACTGATTGCATATACAGTACTACAAAAACAAAAGTAGTTTATGTCTAAAAAGCTATCATTTACATTTACAGTACTTATCTTAATGGTTCCTGTTAGAAATGTTCTACAATAAACATCAATGTTTATTTTCGCTCTCATTTCTTGACCGTAAAGACCAGTGAAACAGAGTTCAATAGCCAAGAAGACATTCATCTTTAGTCTCTCTTATTCTGCCTGATGAACTTACGATACACTGGTGGCTCTACAGTAAGATACACTAAGGGATAAGCTGTCCGACAGGGAGTCTGAAAATTTTGGGCCGGGGGAGCGAAGTTTAAAAGTTGGAACCCTAGTTATTTAGCAACCTGGCATTTAAACATTTTTTTGCTATTTTTAATCAGATCTGAGGCATTTCAGAACATGACAGCAGGGCCAGGGTGAAAGTTACATGCATGATGATCCTTGTTATGCACAGAAGTTTTTTTGTCCCTACCACCTTCTACTGCCAAACTTTGTTTTATTCAATAGAGTATGCTCATCTCATCTTTAAAAAAAAAAAAACAATAATAAACATGAACGGATCAGATGAATAGCTTAGGGTACAACCCTAAAATTGCTAAAAAAAAAAAAAAAAACCCAATTATTTCCACTACAATAGGGTCCCCAGTGTTATCTTGTCTTCATGTAGTGTATATTGGCTGTCGTGCTCTTCCTCTTGTTATGGGACAACTTCATGATTGAAGGTGTCTACCCAGTAGGCCTAATGTAGCTCTGTCTTTTCAGGAAAGTGCTGTACCAATTTGTTCAGTAAATTTTTTTTAAAACTTACAGTAAACTCTAAAAACATACTATATCGAATATATGTTAGATGTTGATCTCCTAATCCAATTTATGGGATTAACAAATATCTTGTTTTTATAGCCATTGTAATTTTCAACAAGTAAACAGTACTGTCGTAAGGATTATTATACCAGTATCAGTGCTAGGAAAAACATTTGAGAACTTGTTTTTTGCATACATACTGCATAGTTTCTAAAGTAGATCTGGCCTATGACTAGCAATAACAAGATCATGGCTCGTAAGACTATGCATAGTAAGCCTAGAGCTGCATGTACAAACATATCGTCATCATACATGGATCAGCTCTAAACAAATAGTAATTAACAAGAGGTCGCAAGTCTTTCATCCTTTGGAAAACATGATAGAATTTAAGTGCTTCTTATCACCATGGATTCCTTCATTGCATGTTCTTTTTCAAAATACTCATCATCTTGAATCCAATGTTGTGTTTTTATCACTATTACTCACCCAAGTGCTTCAACTTCTTGTGAACCACAGATGTGAATAATGGTGTTCTTATCGGGCTTCGATGTAGAGCCTGTTACTAAAACCAATACAAGTCTTTCATCTTCATATCTTATCTTATTCTTTTTTAATGCTTGATCGTCCCTTGTATACTACAGTCACTAAGTAAATCCCTCACCGCTGCTTACTCTGAAAAATAGTTAAAAGCAGCACTTGATACGTGGCATATATCTATACAGTACTTAAAAGCTTGTTATCTGATGACAGTAATGTGAGGATCTTAAAGACACTCTACTCTTCATCGTGAAAAATGTTCAAGATGTTTATGACCACTTTTACGAGACACGTTTTACTTCATAAACACAATGGTCATATATTTATATAATGCCAATGTTATAACAATATTACAATAATTATAATATGATAATTATAATAATATATCATAATATAATAATTATAATTATTATTATATCACAATATTATATGTATTTTATTTTAAGTGCATTTATCACTACAAGTTATATATTTCCTGTAATGAAATTAAAATATAATAAAAATTAAAATATTGAAAGGTAAACTCAGAATAAGAGTCCTCGATGTTTGGCCCAGCCTGTGCTATGCATGTGGGTTTACTTTTTGCACATATTTTTGCTTGTGGGTGGAGAGGGAACACATACTAAAGAGGCTTTTCCAACTATAGTATTGGGTAAAGACAATTATAATATTTTTAGAGGGTGCGTCTAGGGCCGGGCACTCACTGTGTTGTACGACACAGTCATACAGTCTTGGCTGACAAATCCAACTCCGCTCTCTGTGACCGCTCGTCGACATGGCGCCTTCTGGTAAAAGTCAGTGGCAGTCTCAGCGGATCATTAAAAACTATCCGATGCGCGCGTCATGGCATTGCATTCTCCATCGAATTGCATCAGTTGACAGCAAGTTAAAATTGTCTTTACATAATAATAAACAAAATTAATGATTTAAAACTATATCGTATTATTGTAATATTCAGATTTATTAAACAGTATTTCATTATGACTCATTCAAAAAACATACATTCAGCCCAGACATAAATATTAGGTTTTCCTTGCACTACAAATGCGAATGAGATAAACATGGATAAACATACTGTAGCTAATGAGACAATTCTTTGTAACAGGGGAAAAGATATTATTCCCCGAGAGATTAGGCCCAAGTGGACAGTAATGGTATAGAGTAGTGAATTGTGCAAATGTACAGTATATTCCCATTTAAGGATCAAAAGATATAGTGAAATTATAATTTAGTCTAAACATGTTATAGCCGGTCTACTTACCATTTAAATTTTAATAAAAATATTTTAATGAGAGACTAGAGTACAGTATAATACAATGGAAATTATGAAGACAGTTATTACTTGATTTATAAAGTGGATATGAATGTTTTTATTTATAATTTTATTATTTGTTTAAAGGAAAAAGATATTTACTTGTTCATCGAAATTATAACAGTCTGAGATTGGGCCACATAATAGCTATACATTTTGTGACACTGTAAACATTGTAATGTACCTTAATTATTGATGAGCAATGTTTTAACTTTAATGTACTGTTTTATATTTTGCTGTTTATATATATTGATTTGTTATACAAGTTATTGTGGTAAAGAAAAAAATTAAGTACACATAATTACTGATATGACTTAAGCTGTTCAATGTATAGTACTGTACCTTTCCAGGAACTGTATTAATCTACAGTATTGTTTTCAACAGGAATACAACATTAAATTAATAATAAATAAGATAGAATGACCTGGTTGCTCAAGAATTTTGCCCTGTTTGTTTATTATCATTGAAGAATGCAAATATGTAAAAAGTGTATAGTTCAGATAATAACTTATTATTTGTTTATCTTTTAGTTTATTACTACAAGCGGGTATGGACATTAATAGTCAGGACAATGATGGATGGACTCCATTCCATGCTGCCTCCCACTGGGGTCAAAAAGAGTCAGCGGAACTCCTAGTCGAGAAAATGTGTGACATGAATGCAAGGAATAAATTAGTAAGTGCATTTTCATTTCCTATTGGGACAAATTTAAAAATAAAAAAAAAAACCAATGTTTTCCATCCCTTTAACAGCATGCAGTTGTACAGTACTGCCAGAATGTCCCTAACTAAATTGTCCAACAATGGAGTCCAACAATTTTGGATGAAGGCTAGCAGAGACCAGCGGGCGAAGTCTCAGACAATCTTGGGAGATTTTATCCTGTTCTTCTTATAGACATTTTATGTCTTACATTTTTTTTTGAAAGAAAATGTAAGAATCGTGGCAAACAGGCATTTGGCCTGTTTGACTAGTGTTTCAGTTGAAGTCAACATACAATTTGGATTTTAACATTGTTGTGATGATTATTTGATTTTCTTGTAGGGTCAAACAGCTTTTGATTTAGGAGATGACCAAATGGTAAAATATTTAGAGGAGCTCAAGAAAAAACAGGCATCTGTGAGTATTGAAATTTGGTTGCAGGTGGTTATGTAAATTACTGTAGTTCCTCTGATCTAAGCCTACCCCTTGCTTTATGCCCAATTTTACGTACAAGCATTTCGTAGCTGACTTCTGAAAAAGAAAATTAATTACAATGTACCCTCCAACATCGCCTTTTGATTAAAAAGGGGATTCCACAGGTATAAACCCTCCCCTTAAATTCGACCCAATTTTTTGTTCAAGAGGGATTTACCAGAGAAACTACAGTATAATAGTATGATAATATATACTTTATTGTTATCATACACAACCAGTGGCATACAATTCATTAGTACTACACATAATGAATCATCTTCATTGAACATTTCTATTAGTTTATATGTGGTAGGCATGAAAAGGGTTCGGAGAGCCAAAGTGAATTTTGGATTTAACACAGAGGGCGGCAAGCAAACTTTGAAGTTTCCAATGCACTTGCAAAAATTTCAATCACTGCTTTTATACTGTTTTAGATTTACTATTACTTTTTATAGATGATCGGTGTCAGGCCATAAAAAAAAACCATGGAGTTTCTTGCCAAAGATAAGGTTTCTAATTTATATTCGCGGGGCTGCACAAAAATCAACGTTGGGCCACATGTGGCCTGCAGACTGGACTTTGCCTGTGTTTGATTTATTTGATGATGACAAGGGATTATTGCATACAGTAGTCACTATATCAGTCTCAATTGTACAAATTCTCAATACCCAATCATTGAAATCAAAACATTGAATATACCTCCAATATTGTCTCTTTTTGGAATTTAATTTATGAAGAATAATCCAGCTGATTCAAGCCTGTTATTTTCTTCATGTTTTCTTTGAAGATGTCTCAATTGCCACAGTTCTAAAATAGCTTGAACAAAGGTACTGTGCAGATTTGTTCATCATCATTGCTTTTTATGAGTGTCCTCACATGCGGCAATTGTTTATTCTTGAATGTTTAGTCTTTCAAGCTTAAACCCATTATTGTAGCTCCATGCTCAATGTGACCATCTCCTTGCTGTAACTGGTGTTAATGTAATATAATTTTTTTTATTAATATTTCGTCTGAACCATATTTAATGAGGGTGATTCATCCAACAGAAGCTGATCATCTGTGACCCTCAACATGTAACAAAACAAATTACAGGATACGTCTTAACTACAAATTTAAATTAGAATTAGAATAGAAAAAAAAAAAAACGATACAAACATAATAATGATACAAGTGCATATTACACCCTATACACTTCACACATAATTAGAAAAGGAATGAATGATAAAGATGTAATAATACTCCAACATTTTTACCACGGCAATTCAAAAATATAATAAAAATAATAATAATTCTAATTCTAATAAAAATATTACTAACAACAGTAATAGTAGTAATAATAACAATAACCAAAATAATAATAATAATATGGCTAAACTACTTCTATTATACTGATAGTAGTAGAGACATTAAATTTTATAAACTATACATATTAAGAAGATTGTTTCAGTTTCTTTAAGATAATCAATAGTAATTGTGAATATTGCTTTGGAAATTTCTACAAATGACCCAGTCCTGTAATAGTAACTATAATAAAAAGTTATTTCTGAAAACTGCAATAAACAATGAAGTAGATGAGTACATTTTTTCTTTCTTTTTCTTCTTTCAAATTTAAATTAGACATTTTGACTACACTCATTTGACCCATCATTATTATCATCATCTGTGTTTGCTTCTGTTGCTCCTACGAATTGAAAACATACTATAACAACTACATTATAATGAGATATCCAATTTTTGTCTACTGTATAGATACAGTAATTTTTCGACTTAATACTGTTGATCATCTTGAGCTAAAATACATTTTTTATTTATTCTCCATCTTGGACATGGTCTAACTTACCTTAGTTTTGGTTGTAAGATTAATCATTTAGTTTTAGAAGTTCTGAAAGAGTCCTTGATGTCATATCTTGTTGATATATTGCTTTCATACCATATATTTGAATTAAGTGATATAGTTGATGACTTAACTAATACATTTTTCTTTCTTGTTTTCTTTCAAATTTAATTTAGACATTTTGACGCCCCTGAGACCCATCATTATCGTCATCATGATTACAATTACATTTGATTTAATTTTTATTACATTGCAATTACATTTTGTGGACCCAATTACCGATTGTCCCAGATTACTCCAAAATATAGTGATTACAATTGATTACGAAAATGATTGCAACTGATTATAATTACAAATTATTATTATTATTATTGATGCCTGATCAGTTTACTTCTGCCTGGAAAGTCACTGAAATTGTGCCCAGAGTGTCATTATACTTCTGCATGTAGAGTCAATGTACTTCTTAGCTGGTGGATCATTACACTTTTGCCAAGAATTGAAGGTCTAAAATTGTTTGACTAGAGTGTTGGGAAACTCCTGTCTCTTTAGATAAAACTATTTGTTCTTACTTCATTTTTTATGAAGGGGGGCTAAACAAAATTAATGGATGATTAATGTGGAACAGAATTTCTCTCCCCTTAGCCTCACAGTGGTTGGGACACAGCACAAACGTTTTTTTCATATTATCGGAAATGGCATTCAAAGGTCAAATTTTCATTTTCAAAGCAGTCTTTGTTTTTTTAATTGTCCATTTGGAAAACATGTTAAACTAACATTAGACGAAGTAAAGTACAGTCAACTTCACAATTCAATATAAAGAACACTATTAAAATCATTTGAAAGACAATAACAACTTACATGGGCAAGACATTATAATTTGTTTAATTTTGAAACTTTTTGTATTTTATTTGTATGAATGATTGTTGTTGATATTATATATGACATTATATGTGGCAAAGACAAGCCAAACCAGTCACTCGTTCAAATTCTGTTTCAAAGAAAATAGCAAAAACATGCTAGAATGTAAAATTTTTAAAAATCTATTTTATTTCACTAAACTAAGGTTCATGTATCTATACATCATGCTGTGCTGTTATTTTTCCCAATTTCAATGTTAAAACAAAACTTTTTAATGATTTTATAATAGTTTCTGCATGAGAAATGCCTGAAATCATAAACTTTGAAGGCTGATTTCTCATATATTGTTCTTTAAACAGCTGTATGCTTAAATGCTTGTAACTTCATAAGAAAATGTCCGAGTTGAATGATATTTTTACCATTTTATAGCTCTTATTTCACTCTCTAAAACTGTATTAATAACTCAAAATCGAATTTTGCGACGAGTGACTGGTTTGGTTTGTCTTTGCCACATATAGTAACGGATATTTGAATATATAATTTATTGTTAATTTTTAGTACAGTACTTGACAACAACGAATTTAATACTCCAGCACCTGATGATTTGGCCCATAGGGAGCATATTCTACTCTATACCCGTGCTCGTCATCACCTATTCAGCATCTTGACGGTGGAAGCGGTTTGCCGCAGCGGGAACGGTTTGGTTTCCCAACCTCAACGTCGGGGGTTTCAATTCCTCGCTGTGCATTTTGCTTGTGTCCTTGAGCAAGACACTTATCTAGGAGTGTACATGGGTATATTATTACAAGTGCCCATACCAGTACAAGTACAAGTTGACGAGTTTGTGTTCAGAGAATTTTGCATGGAATGTCAAGAAACTTCTAACTTTATTCTTAGTATTGTCCAATTGGTACTACCAAATAATAAGGACTTTACTACTTTTTTATGTATTGCAGATGAAACCAGACAGCAAGAGTAGCACACCAAGGATAGAGTCGAGACAACCACCACCCCAACTGAGACGTAGGTCATCAGTGTCTAGGATGAGTGTGCAAGAACGTAATCAAACCCTACACCAGGATATGCAGAGGGAACGTGAGGCCCTGAAGGAAAAAATGCATGGCCAGGAAAAAGAAGTAAGCTTAGACGACCTTTGGTAATGTCCTCCAGAACCTCAAGATGACAATCCAGATTCCATAGTAAATTCCTGTCTTCCACAAAGTCTTGTTTCTTCTAACTAATGTAAATGTTTCATATGTTGGTGCCGTGTTTCAGTTCTGGACACGTATGTTGTTATTACTTGCATGACCTAACATTGAATTTTATTATGTGCTCAAAATGTTCACCTCCTGAGTATGAGGAAACTGTTGATTCTAATGCTTGTCATCATGTTGTTTTCCTTTACTAAACGTCCCCACAAAAAGGACAAAAAAATCCTTAAATGAAGAAACAAAATGGACTAATAAAATAAAAACTTGTTAAGTATATATAATATATTATATTTTCCTTGAATAATTATAAATATTAAAGGGTTTTTGCTGTAATTTGTAGCAAAAGAAGAAGACTTATGAATCGTCCAGTTCCAGCGCGAGCGAATCAGAAAGCTCAGAAGATGAAGAAAACGTCACGAATAAGGAAAACACAAAAAAAATTGGGGCCTCCTCGACGAGAGTATCCATGACAAAAGAGGTAAACATCGTTCCATAACTTTTCCCTGACCGTGAAAAAAATTCCCAGGAAAATCTACTGGATATATAAAAACATTATCATATTTCAAACTCTCCCCCGAAGGGAGTAATATACAAAACAGCAGAATCTGATGACCCTATCTGAATTCAATATTTTTTTGTTGATTTCAGTGAATTTATATAATGTTTAGTGGATTTTGTAATTTAATGGATTGGAAGCCTTTAAATTTTTTTACATCCTGTTTTTCAGTCATCCCTCTTTCCTCTTGATTTTCGACAAACATCTACTAACAAATACTATATTCCTCTTATTCGAAAGGAAATAGTATTCAAAATGCAGAAACCCACCCTCGAGTGTCTGTCTTTTATCCGTGTTTTAACTTTGTCACAAATATTCTTTTAATGTTTGAGTATTTTAATATTTATTTTCAGGTTAAAATTCCAGATTGAAAGTATTAATTTCAATACATTTTATTTAAAAATTTCTATTAGATATTGATAATTTGATCTATTTTGAAGATTTATACATCAATGATAACAAAAAACTACATTGTTCATTTATCAGTGTTGAGTAATTTAGCATGGGGTATATTTTTTATTGGCGTGTTTCCAATCCATCCTCATTGTAAAATCTATTATTCAATTAACATTCTTTTACCCTATTTTCCACTTCCTATCCATTTTTAACTCTGTTTCTCCTCAGTGATTTAATCATTGTCTGTTTTCATTCTTATTAAATTCTTGTTTTCATCATTGTTTTACGTCATTCTAGTGGAGGACAATTCTGGGACATTGTCACAACATTTATTTATCATGGACATTGTCACAACATTTATTTATCATGTACTTATGTGTTAAAAACTCTGTGATATTGTTAAAAATTATTGAAAAATATGCTGCAGAGCAGTTAACCATGAATTTTTTCAAAGTGAGGAGCTAGCCAACCAGGCATAATGGTCTTTTAATAGTTTTGGTTTTTCCAATGGCTCTCCTCTCTCATGGTTATTTTATAAGTACTGTATATTGTATATTATTTGCTGGAAGAATATCTGTTTGAAGGAATTTGTGTATACAAGTATGATTATTCCCTGCAGTTTGTTAAAGGCAGTAAAAGAGGGGAAACGGCTTTCCCAACTAAATAGGTAGGTAGGTCGAGCTAGCAGTGCTGGCCGATCTGCTTTCTAAGAATAGATTGCTGTATATGGTGCGGTTTGCAGTGTATTATTATATGCCATCTTGCTTAGTTGCATCATTTTTTAAACCCTTGTGGCTGTTTTTTTAGTGAGTTGACTGGCCTTTTTGCTGATTGGTAGTTGATTTCCTTGAAAAAATCTGCTTATTTTTCTCAAAATTTAACAAACTAAATAAATCCAAAATTCTTCATATTATTAGCCTTGATACATTCCAAACAAGAGTTGCATTATGTTTTTACGTTCAAATTATAATAATAGTATGCATGTATGCTTTTGTGGGTGCGCGAGTGTTTTGAAATGAATTTGCACACACATTTCATTGAATGCATGCGCACTTTCTAACAATTTTGAAATTAGAAACCGCTTACTGTATCTTTTAATTTGGTTTCATTTTTTATTAGAAAGCACAGCACCTGAGTTAGTGTGATATTACCTTCATCCTTTCATCAAATTTAGGCCTACGTACACAACATGTTTGTATATACCATGTTGGTATAATGATGCAGCTAAGCAAAAATTTGGCATAAAAAGCCCATAATACAGTCAACTACCGCCACAACTAGCAGAAGTTGAAAATGGTGCCAAATTTTAATTCGTTTTTGGCTTAATCATCTACTCTTGAATGCATTGTGTATCCCCACTGGCAACACATAACACATTACCCCTTTCCCCAACCGAGTTTGACGTTTTGATTGTTTTGATATAAATATAAATAAAACTAGTGTGGCTGAGGCAAACGTTCCTATCTTGATGGTCTTTTTGAGGCTTTCTTGCTGTTTTATCAGTGTCTGTTTGACCAAATTTAGTAACATCCATTCCTATTCATTTCTTTGTGCTGTCGGTTAGATGTGCGACCCCGTCATTTGCCTTTTACTTCTGTATTCCCATTTCGTTGTTCCTTTACTGTGTAAATGTGATTGTTTCTGTTACAATACAACATTGAGAATTGTGGCCATTTTCTACCATTCTGTGCTAGACATACATTTTACCTTGTTACCATATTCATATTCATGTTTACTTATACTGGTTGAAACAGCATAAATAATTCAGCTGACAGTCAATACATTATAATATTTATAATATATGTTTCTGTAAAATATGAATGAATATTTAAATGCATTATTATATATTTAGATATCCATTGTAAAGATTTCTTTTTACAAACATTTACCAATGCATTTATATGGATGGGAAATTATTTTAGTGTTATGATTAAGTCTAATATTCTCTTTACTAATGATCATATACTTCTCAGCTACAGTTATCTTCAGTCTTGCAGATAAGCCTACTGATATATATTAATGTTATATTTTATATTTGGATCAGGTAGACAAGTGTAAATTTGAATCTCTATCACTCTACATCTTTCTTGCTTCTGTTAGTTGCTCAAGTGTCTACTGTTACTGTATCTTTTCGTCTTATTTCTTGATCGTCCTGAGCTAATTACATGCTTTTTTTTAATTCTTCAACTTAGACATGATCTTAACATATGTATGTTTTGGTTGTAAGATTAATCATTTGGTTTTTTTAAATTTCTAAAAGAGTCCTTTATGACTTGTATCTTGTATTGCTTTCATACCATATATTTGAATATTAGTGATTTATATCTTTACCATCAGTACTGTATAATGTTATCTGAACTTCTCTTGTCTTCATTCTTTCACTTTCTCTTATGTTTTCACTTTCTTCTCAGTTTCTGTATAAGTGTCATCAGCACTTCAGGTTTGGGTAAATGTGTTTTAAAGGATATAATAGTAATTGCTGAATTGCCTCCCATTATTACATTATTTAATAAGTTTTTTACGGTAATTTGTACTTCTAACACTGTAAGTAACTGTCTAAATAGTCTTCAGTCTGGTTTAGCTGATTTTTATTAAAGTTTGGCCAACCAACCTTAGTAAAAAATGAAAAGCTTTGAAAAATTATTTTATTCAGAATTCTGTCATATATAATAAAGTAATGAAATATTTTTCATATTTTGATTAAATTTTTTTTTCTCTTGATTATTTTAATAAATATGCATAATTATTCTAGTAATATTTAATAATGTATATCTTTACAATAAGCTTGCTTGCCAATCTTTAAGGTTCCTGGATTCACACCGAAACCATTGAAGAAACAAGAGTCAAGAGACGAGGTGCCGCCATGGCGACAGGGTCTTAGAAAGACTGGTAGCTCCAGTGCAGTACCAGAGACAAAGAGAAATGATGAAATTGCAGACAGGGTACAACGATCAGCATCCAGTCCACGAATAGCTGGAGAAGATCGAAAGGATAAGGTATGTTTTTGAGGGCCAAGTTCGACAATAATGACCTGAAAATGAGCCATTATTACCTAAGAATTGCTTGGTGGTATTTATATTTCTTTGTATGCCTAAGAGCTTAAATGCTAGGAGATTTTGGCTTTGGTTTGTTCTTACTTTAAAAATGAAATGTAAATTTAAGGTAATTCAAGGTAATTTTAAATGTTGCCTTGTAAATAAAAGTCAATATCATCTAGCAATAGGCGGTAATTGTGTAACAGTGGTCGATCCTTTAGTGGCCTTCATTATGACAGTGCGGTGGGTGGTAATGAAAATTATTTCCCCTCCGAATACATTGTGACTTTGCAACATTCCAAATTAGTAGAATATACGTTAATCTGCTTAGGCTTGCAGCGAGGTATGAATACCACCATGCTTTTAAAGGTACGCTTTAAAATGTAATAGTGCGTTGTCCAAAATTCATTGATTGTAATCAAGCTTTATGCAGTTAGGTCCTTGTCCATAACAAGCAATAATGTCATGGACCTCGACAACCTGGAAGGGTATGAATGTATGTTTGCGTGGACTGTGAATTGTTAATAATTATTCAAGTTAAATTTCTTTCATGCGTTCTTGTTCAGGCAGTAATGGGAAAGTGCGAGGAATACGTGCGTGCATCACAAACACACACGTAGTCCCACAAGCGCACACGTTTGTGTATGTTTTAACATGTCGCTTTGTGGGACCTTATCAACAATATCCAAGGGGCGGTGGTCCTGTAGGTCAACTTTTTTCTAAAAAATAATAATATGTTAGCGCTTCATGCCAATAAGGCCTTGAAGCATTTCACATTATTACACCCGGTCATCGGATCAAACACACACAACACATACTCAGCTCCTGTGGTAGAATTCCTTAATGTTCTAGCTATACATCAACATATTTTTGTTTGAGCCTACCCAGCTACCCACTTTTACTCCTGGGTGGAAAGAGACAACTGAAACACACATGGTGCCCTTGAAACTTTAATTTTTAAATAATATGTTGGCTGCCATTTGAATTACCTATTTAATGAGCCGTCCGAAGCTACTTAGAATTTAATATTAGATAATAAGTTAGGAATTTAATATAGATAATAAGTTAGGAATTTTGTAGTTTTATATGACTAGGTAGCAGATGGCACAGAAAAAAAATGTAACTAGAATTATTATTTGTTTTTATATTTTCTAAATTGTAGGATGAATCCAGAGCAGTAAGCAATCGTCTTAGTGGAGGTGGAGGAAGAGCGATATCAGGTTCACAGAGTACATCTGCCATATTAGATAGATCAAAAACAAATGAGGAAGGATCGGTTAGGTGAGTTATACCATACATGGATTAATGCCTCAATCAATACCTACTTTGTAAGTAGAAATGAGAATTCTAATCTTAATATATATAATCAAAGAGTATAAATAGAACAAGAGAGCCAACTACGCTCATTGAGAGCGGAAAAAACGATAACGCCCTACGCAGCTTGTGTAGGACGCCAACTAACGCTTGTAGGTGCTTTTTATTACCCAGTACTCCACCGCGCACGGTCTGTTTGTCTGTTTATCTGTTCTCCACAGTACTTTTGTTTTCTGCTTACTGAGTTCATAGCGGGCGTACTTCGATCGTGCTGTACTACGGTAAAAAAATACCTACAACCGTCAGCGGGCATCCTACGCAGACGTGACGTTTTTGCGAACGGGAGTACACTCTCTTGTTCTATTATACTCTTTGATATAATGTAAGAGACGAAATTGTTGTTTTGCCCAAACACAGTGGCATTTGGAATGCATGGTTGGTTGGTCTGTGTTTAAGGTACCGTAGGCCTAAGTGTAGTTTTAGGGTTGATAGCTCACCATTACACATCATATCCATATAGAAAAATGATAGCTATTTATTACTTGTGCTTTAGCCATTCCCTCCATAAGAATACCTGGTCATCATTGATTGATTTTACAGTGGCTGTATTTATACAAATTGCTAATGTGGATAAAACTTTAGATCTATTTAATATAATTCTTTATTTGGTAAAAAAATTTATGCTGTGTTAAAACGTGAAGAGCTTTATTTTCTCTTGCTGTGGTAATTTTAATATTTTTATGTTTAATTTTTTTTTTTTATGTTGTGACTAGATTTTACTTAGTTTAGATGTTTTGCATTTTCTATACCAAGGTGGACCTTTCAATATTCATAAAATACAAATTTATTATGATCATATTATTTTAATATATTAATCAGTTATTATGGTGAAGGACTGTTTAACCACAAAATATGTATTCCCCGAGTTGATAATTTCACACCAACTTTGTTTTGTATGTACAGTATATAATCTGCTTGCCTGCTTTGCTTCATGTTTGTGCCGTCTATAATTGCATGTGTCGTTTTTCTGCTCCCTCCCTCTATAACCGCAGGGATTATGACATCTACAATCGGCCTGGCATGTACAGACGGCGCTACCCAGACTACTCCAACACAGATCAAGACCAAGACCGGTACAAGTACCGTAGCTCCGCCGTGCCGACAAACTCGCCCATCATCGAATCCAAAAATGCGTTGCCACCCACCACAACTACCACAGCTCCTTTAACCACAGCGTCTACCACAATAACTACTTCTCCCAGATCTCCCAGAAGGTAAATTACTGATCTCAATCTGGGATTCTAGAGAGGTTAACGACACTGACTGAACAAAATCTTATGATGATCTATATCCTCATTTGTGTGTTGATGCTTATTCAGTGTGTATGTTTTTGTTTGAATAATGTTGCCTTCATATGTGCTTGGTATTCTTAAGGTGCCGATTTGCAGTGTTTTAATACCAATAATATATGCTATGCTTTAGTATATAAAAGTATTTATTGAAAATATTATATATAATCTTAACTTAATTACCAATACGATACCCTTACTTGCATCACCAATATGGTATACTAACCATGACTGTCAAAATCGCATCTTTCCCATGACTGCCAACATGTTATCCTCACCATACCACCGGCATGTGTCATCATCGTTCCCACCAATGTGGTACCCTTACTTTGATCAAAAACATGGTAGTACCAATACTTGCCCTAAAGACATGATACTCCTACCACCAATGTAGAGATCGCCCTCCAATTCGAGACCCCTCTAGTTTGAGACCACTTTTTTAAAGTACCAACTAACCACCTACTTTTTAACACTGAAGTAACCCTCTAATTCGAGACCAAACCAGCTTTATGGAAGAACCAAGTGGCAAAATGACCTCCAATTCAAGACCACATGTATTTAAAAGTAAAATTAAACAGATTAAGGTTTTCTAAGGGCCTGTTTCTACTGGAAAGAAATAATCGATTAAAAATCGCTTTTATTCTCGCAGTAGAAACGGGACCATTTTGAAAAAGCGATTTAAAAAATTGATTAAAAACACGCAATGGATAGCGTGTTTGAACGGCAAATAACCGATTTTGGCTGTGCACCTTTTAGCTGCAACACAAAATAATCGATTATCAGGTGAAATGTAACCTGCAGGTCAATCACTGCAAAGACTGATCGTATTAGGCGCAAACTTTTAAAAAAAATTTGTCCTCTTGTTCTTGTCCTAGGCCTGCAAGCTAAAAACGTCAACAAACATGTGGAGCGACGAATTCGTTTTGTAATTATTTTGTGGGGGGGGATATTGGGCCTAGGCCTCTCCGCTCCGCCTACCGTTGTCCTCGTTTGGTCGCTTGTTCATTGTGCTGATGAGCACAGCCGAAAACATTTGTCTTCTCACCCCACACCGTATCTTACTCCTCGTCATCATGACAGGAATGAGAAAGATACTATCCTATACAGTTAGGAAAACAATGTGTTGTATTAACAAAATGGTGACGTAATTTCTGTCACGAAAACTGATTTTTGAAAAATCAAAAATGCAGTTGCAATGCCAGCAGGCTGTCTGGTACTCATTAAAAAAACGGTTTAAAAAAATGATTATTTTGTGTTTATCAGTAGAAACACACCCTTAAGTAATTTGACAAAAGATGAACTTCAACATCAACAACAACATGTATTTTCAAAAGTTTATCTATATAAATTAAGGTTTCTTAAGTTTATTTTCTCTCTACCTTTCTGTGCATTTTTTTTTTTTTTTTTAAAGCTAGTTTTTGAAAAGAAATTTGTAGTTTTAGGCCACTGGCTGTGAATCTGAAAAACCTCCTTAATAATAGCTGTCTCTTATACACATCTAGATGTGTATAAGAGACAGTGCTTATTCAGTGTGTATGTTTTTGTTTGAATAATGTTGCCTTCATATATGCTTGGTATTCTTAAGGTGCCGATTTGCAGTGTTTTAATACCAATAATATATGCTATGCTTTAGTATATAAAAGTATTTATTGAAAATATTATATATAATCTTAACTTAATTACCAATACGATACCCTTACTTGCATCACCATTATGGTATACTAACCATGACTGTCAAAATCGCATCTTTCCCATGACTGCCAACATGTTATCCTCACCATACCACCGGCATGTGTCATCATCGTTCCCATCAATGTGTTACACTTACTTTGATCAAAAACTTGGTAGTACCAATACTTGTACTAAAGACATGATACTCCTACCACCAATGTACAGTTCGCCATCCAATTCGAGACCCCTCCATTTTTTCAAAGTACCAACTAACCACCTACTTTTTAACACTGAAGTAACCCTCTAATTCGAGACCAAACCAGCTTTATGGAAGAACCAAGTGACAAAATGATCTCCAATTCAAGACCACATGTATTTAAAAGTAAAATTAAAATTTTCTAAGGGCCTAATTCTACTGGAAAGAAATAATCGATTAAAAATCGCTTTTTCGAAAAATCGCTTTTATTCTCACAGTAGAAACGGGACCATTTTGAAAAAAGCGATTTTAAAAATTGATTAAAAACACGCAATGGATAGCGTGTTTGAACGGCAAATAACCGATTTTGGCTGTGCACCTTTTAGTTGCAACACAAAATAAGCGATTATCAGGTGAAATGTAACCTCCAGGTCAATCACTGCAAAGACTGATCGTATTAGGCGCGAACTTTCAAAAAAATTTGTCCTCTTTTTCTTGTCCTAGGCCTGCAAGCTAAAAACGTCAACAAACATGTGGAGCGACGAATTCGTTTTGTAATTATTTTGTGGGGGGGGGGATATTGGGCCTAGGCCTCTCCGCTCTTTTGGGCCTACCGTTGTCCTTGTTTGGTCATCGTTCATAATTGTGCCGATGAGCACAGCTGAAAATTTGTCTTCTCGCCCCACACCGTATCTTACTCCTCGTCATCATAACAGGAATGAGAAAGATACTATCCTATACAGTTAGGAAAACAACGTGTTGTATGAACAAAATGGTGACGTAATTTCTGTCACGAAAACCGTTTTTCGAAAAATCAAAAATGCAGTTGCAACGCCAGCAGGCTCTCTGGTACTCGTTAAAAAAGTGGTTTTAAAAAAAAATGATTATTTTGTGTTTAACAGTAGAAACACACCCTTAAGTAATTTGACAAAAGATGGACTTCAACATCAACAACAACATGTATTTTCAAAAGTTTATCTATATAAATTAAGGTTTCTTAAGTTTATTTTCTCTCTACCTTTCTGTGCATTTTTTTTTTTTTTTTTAAAGCTAGTTTTTGAAAAGAAATTTGTAGTTTTAGGCCACTGGCTGTGAATCTGAAAAACCTCCTTAATAATAGTTTTTGAGAGTATATTATAAAATTCAGTAAATATTTTTCAATGACCTATTAACTTTGGCACCTGTTGCCAGCAATTGCTTTTGATTCAGCTACTCATCCAGGAGTGGCTCCGGGATTTACCCAGAAGTAATCCAAGGGGCATATCCCCTGGAAACTGACAATACGACAATTTAGGGGTTTTAAAGGCTGATTTTACTATTGTGTAAAAAATATATGTAATTTTTTATTCTTTCCAGCAAGGTGTGTTTTTTTCCCCAACTGGAGAGGGTAGAGTTCTCCCCAACGGGGTCCTACCCCCTGGCCACAGGGCAGTAAATGGTTGTCCCATGTTGTCTTTAGGAGACCACTTTTAGCTTTGGTCTTCATTTATAGGTTTCAGGTTCAGTTAACCCTCTAATTATGCTGTTTGGAGACCACATTTAGCCTGTGCTCTCTATTTAGTAGAGGTTTCTAATTAGAGACCGAACCCCCTAGACCACCCCAAATTTCAGGTCCCCAAAGTGGTTTAAAGTGAAGGGTTTACTGTAGTTTCTTTACCATGTCCATTAAACAGTATCATTACCATGACCTCAAATGTATTTCCCCTACCTTGATTACCAACATGGTATCATTACCATGACCACCAACTTAGCATCTTTACCATGACATTGAATATGTTTCCCCTACCTTGATTACCTACATGGTACATGGCCTTGAAAATATGATTCTCCTATCTTATTACAAACATGGTATCATTACCATGACCACTAATATTGTGTCATTATCATGTCTGTCTCATGATATCCTAACATACACACCAACTCATCTGAATATTCCCACCACCATGCTACTATGTTTACCATCATGGGGCCCTTACCATGACCATCTGTGTCCAGTTCCAGTACCACCAACATGCTATCCTAATGTCCAGTTTAATATTAACAATACTTAATATTTATAATAGACCATTATATAATCTATTTATAGCTTGTTACGTTAACTGCTGCTCATTTTCTTTATAAAGAAGATAATACAGGTAGTTTCTTATAGTTAATTCCAACTCCACTTCATAAACCTCATAGTTCTGTTTTCTATTGTGAGGTTGGAGATTGCTTGGGAGAGAATGAAATACAATCCCACAGTCAATACACCCTTTCCCCTTTAGTGAAGACATGTAGTTAATAATGTATTGCAAATATATTTATATATTCATTTGGATTATTTTGAATTATTCATTAGGACGTACATGATACCAGCTAAGGAAGATGAATCAGAGACGACGAGACGTGCCCGGGCACGGAGAGAACGCTCATCCAGGAGGTCAACTCAAGGCGTCACAGCCGAAGACCTTGAAGGAGCGGAAAAATATGTAGGACAATGTAACAGTACAGATTCTCAAAAGAAAGAAATAGATAATAAGGTACGATTTTTATGTTAAATGCCCTCCCATAAACCCTCTTAACATGAAGTTAAATTGATCTATTGAGAATTACGATTAGCTACGAATGAAACTTACAGTCTCATATTAAATTCTATGTGTACTCAATGAGAGTGATATTGCTAGTGGTGACTGGCACTTGTAATTCTCACAAATTTCATGTTTGATATAAATATATTTTAGTTGTAGGCCTAGTTTGGAATCAGTCACTTTTTGTTCTGAATATTGTTCTAAAAAAGATACTGAATATTGATGAGTCCTGTGTTACCAAAGGTCATAGCTATAGAGGTCATGTCAGATGAAGGGTCACATTAAGCATCTTAAGACAAAGAAAAATAAAACAAAAATGTGGGATTTTATTTTCGCAGTTACAAAATGATAAAGCCATTTGTTTTTTTTTTCTTTTCTTTTTCAGGAAATGCAAAAAGAAATTGTAAGTATATTTGAAAATTTAAGAAAATACATTACATGCTTATTAGTTTTAAAACAAAACCATGCATTCTATCTTTCATGCTTTGTGCAGAGACTTAAGTAGAGATCGATGGTGCTTGATTTATGTGCTGCCCTCTATATTATTACCAGATCTGATGTTTCTCCAAAGCTCAGAAACTGGTTTCATCTTAGTATTTGAAATATACATGCCTGGTTTTTTTTTAGGAATTACCAAGACGGAGACATGGTGTGTATACAAAAGTGCAAACCGTAAGTAATTTTCAAGCACCGGTCTCGTTTTATGTACTTGCTAAGCATCACTCTTACTTCATTTTTGTGTTTTTCTGATATAGTTTATGTAGAAATCATTTATATCTTATTTATAGCTAGTTAGTTCTTATTATTAATGTTATCATTCATATGTGAAGCGTTGTTTTGTAGTTTCCCAGAAATCAGTACTATTTTCTTCTTTGTTGATTTTAACTTCCATGTAAGACAAGTTTGCTGAACTTTATCCGGGTAAAAATAATATACTAAAGTGGGCATTAAATATGTGTCTTCCAAATTTTCTTATGGTGCGCAAAATTTCATTCATTATGGGTTCATTGAAATGAAATGCATGATGATATGCTTGTATATATGTACATCTCCACCAATACTTGTGGCTACAAAGCTTAGTCTAGTGGTAGCCAAATCATGTGTGCTGATCTACAAAGATTTTTGGTTTACTCCTTGTTTTAGGCTGGAGGGTTGAAACATGGAGGTCTTATTGAGAAGGAGATCACTCGAAAAAGCTCCGCGTACACAGCGCTATGCAAGTGAGCCAAGAACAAAGCTGCCGCAGCGTGTGAATAGCGTTTACGCGATGCCTTTGAAGTCTAATGTGTTCCCCGCCATCAAATGCTCAGCAGGCTTAATTTACCAAAAAATTGAACATGCCGAAAATGGAGAGCACCTTCTTTTTTCTCAATGCGCACTGCTTACAGACAATCACTATGGCTGTGCAATTGTTTCCACCTTGAAGCTAATACATTTATCTTTCATGAAATACCAAACATATTAATATTTCTACAAAAAAAAAAAGTTTCTAATTTAATGGAACATTTACATGAGCTTTATAAGTGTAGTATATTTCAACTTGAGTTTCCATAAATTGGATAAAACTCAATAATTCTAATTAAGGAATGATTGAAAATTAAAATAAACTAAGTTATTTTAGTGTAAACGAGTGTGGACTGTTCGAAAATTCAATCCAAAACAGTAATTTTCAGTTTTACGCTGCCTTAGCTTTATAGACAAACCAATTGATCTGTAGACAAAATTATAATGAACACAGAAGTAATTGTAACGGAAATATTTTGCAGACTCTGTACCTGAAACATACATGAAATAACATACTAAAATTTCAAAAAAATCCAATCAGGGGAACATTGTTAATTTTAAAGATATTTAATGAGTTAAAATCGAACGGTTTATCCCACAACTACTGTGTTGAAGCGTATAAAAGCATGTAATTGCCAAGTTGTTGCTAACGAAATAAATGTTAATAATAAGATGATACACCCGCGCGCGATCCAAAGGGGGAGGGAAACAGTAGTTTGTCGCGTCAAAGGGATCTGTTGCCGAGTGATCTCCTTCTCAATAATACCTCCATGGGTTGAAATGCAAGTTACTTTAGCGTGCCCCATCTTTCAGAAGAAATTTTTATGTTTGTGTGCTTCTTCGAGGCTTCTTTAACTCTTCTGTAAGAAGAAATTGTGCTGATTTTTTTTTTTTTTTTTTTTTTTCCTTTTTAACTGGCTATTCTTCCACATCTACAGTGTTTGTTTTTCTGGAGTTCCTCTACATTTACATGTGTCAGTTTTTTATTTATGTAGCACTTGATAGACGTACCATTCATTATATTGTATACCTACGATAAAGTTTTGTTTTTCTTAAATTTTCTTTGTTTTATTTTTCATTTACCATTGTTTACATAAAATATGTCATTACATATAAACATCCTGTTTAGTTACATAGTGTACCATCATAAAGCAATCTAGTTCTCTGAATGCAAGCAAGATATTTTAGAATTTATGAATTAACATAACGATGATAAATAGTCTTAAAAGCAAGTTCTAACTTACCCCAGAGCGCTGTAAAAACTTGGTATTTTTAACTATTCCTTACCTATTGCCTTTTGCAAATACTGTACAGGATTGTAGCTATCGAAAACTAAGTGTGGGGGTGATAATAGTCATTTTAAGGAATAGTCATAAATTTAAGGATGGGCAAGAAGATTAATTGAGGTAGGTGGAGGGTCTTTAAATTTGCTTAATTGGGTAAAAAAAACTATACAGTGAGCAGAAAGTTATGTTTTGTATGGTCTCAACATGTTTAAAATATAACTATTAAAAATATTTATAGTAGTATGACATTCTCCATAATTCGGTATCCACTAAGTGTTACTGAGGCAACGCAATGTAGCAAATGCATATACGCATGCAAAAACCATGTTTTGTTATGCATAATGTAGATTCTTCCTAATATTAACCCTAGTATAATAATTGATTAAGTGTAGCAAAACCATTGCAGTATGTTGTAGGATTAGAAAGAGCATATATTTTAGAAGGTTGAAGTAACTTTAGAGTAATTTACCTAGATACCTTTGTGGCAAAAAATCAAAACAAATCTAGCCAGAGCAAATCCCACCTGACTGCAAATTATAAACAATAATCTTTTTCCTAGTGTTTTATTGTAACAATTTCCAAGTAATTTTATACAAAACATTTGAGAATTGTATGTTGTGTGGATGTTTGATGAATGTGTGCTGAGATCATATGAGTAGAGTTCACGTACAAGTATGTATGTAGGTATCAAGTCTGTGAGAGTGGTGATTCTGGTGTGCCATCCGTACCAAATTCATGTGATGTGGTCTCACTTTTTGTGGTATTCTATAATGCGAATTCTGGTTTATATGTTTGCTTGAGAGCACTAGTGGTCTTTACTAGACTAGTGCCAGGGACAGATCCAGAGATATCCGAAAGTGGGCGGGGCCAATTGAGACAACTTTGCTCTATGGGGTTCAAAATTTTTGTTTTCTAGACGCCCAAAACTAACTTCTGAGGCATTTTGGGCGATCAATTATTTCTTTTTCCTTTCTTTTTTTTTTATTGTTTTTTTTTTTTTTTTACACTTTCCAAAAGTGGTGCCGGAGCCAGCCTGGCCTCCCCACTAAATCTGCCCCAGGGTGCCAACCTAACACTTGTGAAATTCTTTCCAAAATGAGCAGGAAGAACCTGCAATCACCGTCACTGCCAGATTAAACCCACCTTCATCCTCTGGTGATGCTGGTTCAACCAATTTACATAGAAGCAATAAGGTAATACATTATTTATTTAACTAAAATAAGGTTATCAGTTTGTCTCGTACATTGAGACCGTGGGAATTCACTGACAAATCAAGAAGTTATTATAGGAGCTGCAATTCAATACTACAATGTAGTACACATTCTATTATTTATTTTCACGTATACGAAAAAAAACCATCGTTTCTCATAATATTCATACGTACCGTACCTGTCTCTTATACACATCTAGATGTGTATAAGAGACAGAAGTCCATTCCGTCGTACACGGAGAAGTTAATGTCGAATATTCATAGGCTATTTATATTTTTAGACGAATTGGTGTTTATTTTGTGATAACTTATAATGAAATAAAACATGGAAAACTGTCACGAACGTTACTGAAAGTGCTAGTGGATTAGTGTAGCATGAGTATGTAAATATTAGTGAATATGTGTAGCACAAGTGTGTAAGCATTAGTGGATAAGTGTAGCACAGTGTGTAAGTACTGGTGGATCAGTGTAGCATGAGTATGTAAATATTAGTGAATAAGTATGTCATTGTATACATACCAAGAACTGAGTGCTGCAAAAATAAGTTTGTAATAAAAAAAAAAAATGTCTGGATATAAGGAAATAAAAAATGAAAGTATGTACAGTATCGATGGACATAATCTAGCTTGCTTGCTAGAAAGTATCTTTACCTGTTGCTTTTAATGTGCATCAAACAAATTTCAAAACTACTGTTTTCTTAATTCCAGCGCTTATTATGCAAATGGTAGTGTCTAGCATAATAAAATTAGTTGTTGTTTATTAACTGTCTTGTAGGTTTAAATTACAATAGCAGGTACTCCATATTAGTACTTATATAACAAGCAAATAGTACTTATTTAAAAACATAGTTTTCTTTTTAAACAGTTTATTTAAGTAAGCATATTTTAACCAAAGCTAGAAGTATACATATGTGTATCCCAATGCATACAAGAGAATTAGATAATATCATACACCATCATAAAATGGTATCGTTGTGTATACATTTGTGTATTCTGTCAATTTTTCTTTAGTATTCAGTGTATATGGTTTACTATCATTCTATGTGTGCATGCTTCTTATAAATTGCATATGTATCATTTTTATACTTATACTCTTTTTTTTTTATCTATCAAATTTTGGTACTTGATATTTGGTATACTGTTTATATAAGATATAGTAGACTTACTATTAATTTTTTCTTAAGGTTTCTAATTGCCAAAGTCTGGCAATATATTGTGTACTTAGGTATATGTTGACTTTTCACAAACTTGTATATAGAACAGAGGTATAAACATGGTAGAATGTTGATAATCATGTTGTCAATTTACCTGTTTAAATTTGATGATACACTATGCTACAAAGTATTGTGTCCCTTGTAGAGGTTTTTTCTAGGGCAAATCTTTGGCCTAGCAGCAGCCTGGGCTGTGGTACAGGGTCTTGCATGCGGACTTACGATGGTTAAGCTTCTGTCCATACTAAAGAAATTGAGGTGACAAATATATGTGATAAAGATTTGAGAATGTCATGTCACGCCCATATTTGGGCAAATCACAGGTAATTGTCACATAAATTTCAATAGTGCTGACAAAGCTTCAAACGTGATATTTGTCTGATTATATATATTGAACTGGCAAAATGGGTCTAGAAACATTTAACAATGAATATTCTTTTTTTTAAATACTAATTGATTTCTTAATCACAGGAATCTCAGGATAGTAAGGATGAAGAGGAAACTAAAGTCGAGACAAAGGTAAGACACATTTTGCTTTTAAATTTGTTTAGTGGAGTGGGATTGTGGTTTGGTAGTTAAGATACTCCTTTTCCAAACCTATTTCATCTGATTTAATAGAAGAATTATTAATAAGATTATGGTCTTTAGAGGATGTCATAAATTGAAGCATTTATAAAATGTGGATATCGTAATGCTATAGGCCTACTGTAGGTAGTAGAAAAATTTAGATCTGTAAGTGTAGCTTGATAACTTGCTGTCCAATCTAAAGATCATGCGTCGCAAGTCTGGTGAAATTTAAAATGCTATGACTAGACTTAGTCCGGAATATTTATAGACACCTTGTGGGAGCACATGCTAAACACGATACCATTCTGCTGACTCTCGGTGGCAGTATTTAAGCACATTGCCATTCAAAATTATCTGTCAATGTCATAGTCCATATTGTTGTGTCTGTCTCATGAAACTACATTTAGTCCCAATGCAGCATGCACTTAAAAATGTACTTGTAAAAAAATGATTGTAAAGGGTATATTGGTTACTACTTGTTATACAGTAGAATCCCTATTTAGGAGATACCATTGGGCCAAAAATAGTGTCCCCTTAATAGGGAGGTCCACTGAATAGTGGTTAGCCATTTTGTATAAAGGTTTACAGTTCTTCATGGCCGAAAAAGTGTCCTCTTAATAGTAGTGTCCAAAGGAGCAGGTTCTACTGTATTTCCTGTACCTGTACAATTAGTATAATTTATAGAGCATCACTAAGTTCCCCCCTTGTTGTTCCCTCATGTTATCAGCAAGTATTTATGCCGTTGAGCTGTGAAATATTTTTGAAATGAAAAAGATTTTCATAATGCTACTCAACGAACTTGTACCTAGCCTCATATATTTGAATATTCATCCAAAAATTGTCTTCTGTCTGTTGTAACTGTGTGTAATAATATTGATGGGATTGTCCCTGTCAAGCAGAGTGTGGGCTATGATTCAATATCACCAGCTGTTGTGTGAATTACAACCCAAGGTTTGTTTCATACGCATAATATGGTGTGCGATATCACCGCTGCTATTATGATACCCTTGAATGCAGAATACATATTACAGTATATAAACTTGTCTTCGCCTTCTTGACATTTAATTCATGACAACTGAATTTAGACACCATTTAGTCAAGCTTTCACTTATTGTATTTATTTAAAATAACAATATTTGCACTACCTCCTCCAGCAAACCCAGCCGCTCAGAGGTAGAATTAAAAGGTTGGAGAAGAGCAATAATTTGTTCTACATTTGGGATTATTTGAATTTTTTGGATAGTCAATCTTTTAATTATTATGCTGCAAAATATTCAGTTTGGCCAAGAGTTAATGTTCCTGTTTTCTTGTACTGAAGAATTCAGTTCAAATCCCACTACAATAGCGTTGGATTTTAATTGGAGTTGATCACTTGGCTCCTTGAATAATCCTCGCATGAGAGTTAAGTTAGATGGGGGCAAGTGGTAATGGCAACTTCATGTATCCCAGCCCTTTATTTATAATTCAAAATTCAAAATTTGGAATAATGACAGAATGAAATCAAACTGAAATCATAAGGTTTTTTTTGGTGGAAGGTTCTGAAGGTTAAGGTGATGGTAAGTAAATATGTCTCCAGAAACTGTAATCTAAAGAATTGTTTTTTCATTTAAATTTATTAGAAATTTATGTTATTTGCAGCAGTGCATTATTATAGAATCAATGCTAATGACCAGAAACAGTGAGTTATTTATGAAGTTCAGTAGACAACAGATGGTTATTTGTGCATACTGGTCATTTTCAACCCAAGTTCCAGCATAGCCGTATTCGTGTGTGATGTGTGCTCCTAATTCACGTTCTTTTCACCAAATTATGATTGTTAAACAACCACTGATACCAAGCTCATCTTCTCTGTTCACCCCGACAATAATTGGCCAGGCTCAAACAAAGTTAGGCTATCACAACAGTGCACAATTTAGCCCCCTGGTGACTAGCAAATCTACCAGCAGCTCAGGTTCGAAGGCTTGCCTATCAGGTGCGTGTCAACGTCTTGGGGATAGCTCTGCAGGTAGCTAGTGACCTGATCATTAGGGGCTCAGTTGATGGTCTCCGATCCAGGTGATAACAGGAAATATATGCCTTCTTAGTCTAGATAACTTGACAACTTCACTAACTGCTAACCTTCTCAATAGTTGATAATATTGTGACCTATTTTTAGATGCAAAGTAAATTACAGGTATTTCACATTTTCAAAGCAATTTCATCAATTTTACAGAATAAGAGGCATATATAATACTGTTTCTGTTATGCTAAAAAAAATAAATATTGAGAATATTGTAATATCTATTTAAGTATAAATAAAAAATTATGCTACATTGTATAAGGACTTGTCTAAATTTTGTTAGCATTTATGGCATCTTTTAAGGGCAATTATATTCGTTCTTGATATATCGTGGTATGTTAGTCAACTGAGTACTTTATTTCCAGCTGATAAATTTCTGCTTTAATTCCTCATCCAATCATCTGTGACTTTTTGAATGTTTGTAATTTACATATGGTTATCTAGAAAGCTAGAATTTGTATAGTCACATCTGAACCGTGTTCTTTTCACCAAATTATGATTGTTAAACAACCACTGATACCAAGCTCATCTTCTCTGTTCACCCCGACAATAATTGGCCAGGCTCAAACAAAGTTAGGCTATCACAACAGTGCACAATTTAGCCCCCTGGTGACTAGCAAATCTACCAGCAGCTCAGGTTCGAAGGCTTGCCTATCAGGTGCGTGTCAACGTCTTGGGGATAGCTCTGCAGGTAGCTAGTGACCTGATCATTAGGGGCTCAGTTGATGGTCTCCGATCCAGGTGATAACAGGAAATATATGCCTTCTTAGTCTAGATAACTTGACAACTTCACTAACTGCTAACCTTCTCAATAGTTGATAATATTGTGACCTATTTTTAGATGCAAAGTAAATTACAGGTATTTCACATTTTCAAAGCAATTTCATCAATTTTACAGAATAAGAGGCATATATAATACTGTTTCTGTTATGCTAAAAAAAATAAATATTGAGAATATTGTAATATCTATTTAAGTATAAATAAAAAATTATGCTACATTGTATAAGGACTTGTCTAAATTTTGTTAGCATTTATGGCATCTTTTAAGGGCAATTATATTCGTTCTTGATATATCGTGGTATGTTAGTCAACTGAGTACTTTATTTCCAGCTGATAAATTTCTGCTTTAATTCCTCATCCAATCATCTGTGACTTTTTGAATGTTTGTAATTTACATATAGTTATCTAGAAAGCTAGAATTTGTATAGTCACATCTGAACCGTGCTTGATTCACCCTACAAATCATTTATCTATCAAAAAACTAGTCATTAAAAGACTGGCAAAGACAAGCCAAACCAGTCACTCGTCGCAAATCGTGTTTCAGAGAGAATGGCCAAAACATGCTTTAATGTCAAATTTTTAAAAATCTATTTTATTGCACTAAACTAATTTTTACATATCTGTACATCATTCTATGCTGTTATTTTACCAATTTTCAATGTTAAAGCAACACTTTTTAAAGATTTGATGATAGTTTCTGCATGATAAACTTTGAAGGCTGATTTCTCATATATTGTTCTTTAAACTGCTGTATGTTTAAACGCTTGTAACTTCATAAGGAAATGTCTGATTTGAATGATTTTTTTACCATTTTATAGCTATTATTTTACTCTCTAACACTGTATCAATAACTCAAAATCGATTTTTGCGACGAGTGACTGGTTTGGCTTGTCTTTGCCACATTTTATATTCAAGATTCAAGAATCATGTAAGCTATAGTTAAGGCCAAATAAAAAAAAAAAATAGTAGTTTCTCATCCCCTCGCACATTTATTTTTTCTGCCTCACCAATATTTTTAAAATTTCATTTTTACTGTGGAGGTTATATACTATACTAGCTTGTGTATATCTCACTTAGTCTTACAATCCTTTACAGTATGTGTTTACACATCATAGTCAACATTAAGTATATCAACAAATAATTATTCAGCTCATTACCAATATAAACACAGTTTCACAAAAAGCACAGTAGAAACATTGTATAGGAAGACTGCTAGGCCCTCCTAATTTGTATTTTGATCCTTCGATTACTTGGCATCATTTTGGGCCCCTGTTTACCTCTCCCCTTGTCCTTTGTGAGGCTTGACCTTGGCCAGATACAAGCTGGTGATTAGACATTAATTTTTTATGAAGGAATTATAGATTTGGGATACTGTACTTTTGTATCCTATGCAACGAATAGTTTGTGTAGTGTTTAGAGGTTCTATGGCGTTAGACAAGCTTTGTACTTTCTAATACTATTATAATGTACAATAAAAAATAACGTACCGATGTAAATGCAACCGTGGAGGTATAAAATACCTCCACGATGCAAAAAATATTGCAGTGAATGTGTATAAGACAATATACAAAGTAATGTACAATATACATAAATAATGTGCAGTAATTTAGTAATAAAATAATATATAAAATGAAAAATGGCAATGAATAAATAGATAATTAACAATAAATAAAATGCAGTAAGTAAAATCATACAATAAATATAATTAATATATAACAACAAATGTATGCATACAGTTGAACAAGTTCTACTCTCACTAATAGATTTATTTACAAAACAGCATATCAGTCATTGATCGTGATAGCCAATCACTGGGATAGGTAGTTCAGGATTTTTATATTTTGTTAAGCACAGGATTATGATGACCACATTCTTGACATGTTTACTGGTGTGTGTGTGCGAAAGTATATTTGTTCAAGTTTGAATTAGCCGTATCCATTAATGGATTAGTGACAAGCTGTATGTACTTTTAAAATATAATTGGTGGCTTAGTTTATCGTATGTTGACCACTTAAAATGTGAGGACTGGCATCACAGGTTCTTCATTTATTATTTTTTTAGATGCTTATAGATTTAATCGCTAATAAATTGTTTACCCTTCGCGGAATGCATG